TTTTCCTCTCTGCTTCATTTATTTCCACCATTTTATCTTCTAACTCACTTATCCTATCTTCTGTCTCTGTTATTCTACTCATGGTTCCCTCCGGAGTGTTTTTGATCTCATTTATTTCATTATTAATTTTTAATTGACTTTTTTAATTTCTTCTAGGTCCTTGTTAAACATTTCTTGCATCTTCTCAATCTTTGTCTCCAGGCTATTTATTTGTAACTCCATTTTGTTTTCAAGATTTTGGATCATTTTTATTATCATTATTCTAAATTCTTTTTCAGGTAGATTCCCTATTTCCTCCTCTTTTGTTTGACTTGGTGGGCTTTTTTCATGTTCCTTTACCTGTTGGGTATTTCTCTGCCTTTTCATCTTGTTTAGATTGCTGTGTCTGGAGTGGGCTTTCTGTATTCTTGTGGTCTGTGGTTCCTTTTTATTGTGGAGGTTTCACCCAGTGGGTGGGGTTGGACGATTGGTTTGTCAAGGTTTCCTGGTTAGGGAAGCTTGTGTCAGCGTTCTGGTGCGTGGGATTGGATTTCTTCTCTCTGGAGTGCAACGGAGTGTCCAGTAATGGGTTTTGTGATGGGTCTATGTGTTAGGTGTGACCCTGGACAGCCTGTATGTTGACACTCAGGTCTATGTTCCTGCGTTGCTAAAGAATTTGCGTGGTATGTCTTGTACTGGAGCTTATTGGCTCTTGAGTGGTGGTTGGTTTTGGTGTAGGTATGGAGGCTTTTGGATGGTCTCTTATTAATTAATGTTCCATGTAGTCAGGAGTTTTCTGGTTTTCTCAGGTTTTGGGCTTAAGTCTCCTGCCTCTGGATTTCAGTTTCATTCTTCCAATAGTCTCAAGACTTCTCCAACTATACAGCACTGATAATAAAACTTCTAGGTTAATGGTGAAAAGATTCTCCACCATGAGAGACAACCAGAGAAGTTCACAGAGTTACATGAAGAATAGGAGAGGGAGGAAGGAGATAGAGGTGATCAGGAGGAGAAAAAGGGGACTCAAGAGGAGAGAGACAGATCTACGCAGTTATCTGTTCCCAAAGTGTTCTCCGTAGCCCAGACGCCCACAAAATTCACAGAATTGGATTGGGAAGAGAAGGGGAAAGGAGGAAATAGAGGTGTTCTGAGGTAGAAAACAGAGAGTCAAAAGTGGGAGAGTAATCACCACACTCCTGAATAGAAATGGGAACTGAATATTGGATGCTTAAATGTCCAAAATTTATATCACATACTGAAAAACAAAGATTAAAAATCTAGTGTAGAGGTTAGACTCTTTGAAATACAATATTTAAAAACAAAAACACACAAAAAATTTAGAAATGTATATGAAGTTCGGTTTAAAAATAGGGTTTCTCTCTCTCTCTTTTTTTTTGGCAAGGTTATAGTGAAATGAAAATGAAAATTAAGGAATAATAGAGGAGTATTAGAGGACTTTAAAAGGAAATAGGAGAGAGAAACAAGAAAAAGAAAAAAAAATATTTTCCCTAATTAAAAAAATCGTAAAAATATATGAAAATGAAAGTTGAGGAGTAATGGGGGAGTAATAGGGAATTTTAAAAGAAAATAAAAGAGAAAAAATAAAAAATAAAAAAAAAGGAAAGAAAAAAAAATTTTTTTAATTAAAAAAATATATATACATATATATCTAGGAATTTCTCTGGAGTTGTTGCGGTCAGTGTAGGTTCAATTCAATTTCAGATAGCTCCTCTTTCCAGCTTACACTTCTCGTTATCTATAGGCCCCTTCTGGTGTAGTCAGTGTTACCTTCAGGGATTTTAATCTGTTGCACCGGTCCTTTCTGAAGCCGTTCCCTTTGTTTATTTGGCTTCTATTTGCCGTCTCTTCGGTGTCTAATTTCCGCCCTGACACAGGCGGGCGGAGATGATCTCTTATTTAGCTTCGCTAGTTCAGTTCAGTCCTGCTACGGGGAGGGCGGGGCGCTGCAGACAGATATCACTGTGTGTGGGTAGCACTCACTGTGTTCCGGTCACACTGGGTTTGCCCCACTCACGGGTGTCAGTGCTTTCCCCGTTTACACTGCTCAGGCTCCCTGCTGCTCTATATGGAGCGGGCCCTGCATTGAGTGCGGTTCCAGTTTTCGGGTACTCCACAAAAGCGCGGATTTGGTTGCGGCGCGGATTTGGTTGCGGCGCGGATTTGGTTGCGGCGCGGATTTGGTTGCAGCGCGGATTTGGTTGCGCCTGCGTTTTGTGCCTTCCCCGGCCTGAGCGGTTCAGGCAGCCAGAGGCTTGGGCGCAATCTCCCCGGGTACGGCGCGCTTTTTCCTTCCGCGGCCCCAGCGCGCGCCGCCAGTCGGGTCTCAGGAAGTCTTTAGATAGGAACCGGGGCCTGTTTGCAGTGTGGGAGGGGGTGGCTTCTCTGGGGCTGAATTTGCCCTTTTCCCCTCCCCCCTGCCTCCTACCTCCAGCGGGGATGGGCCGGCTCTTCTCTGGAGTTTCTCAGTCCCTTTGTTTTGGGAACCGCCGGCAGTGTGTTCGGCCGGTTAATTTTGACCCTTGCTATCCCACAGTTTAAAAAAGCTCCCTCCGATTGCTCTCAGGGTCTTCGGGCCGGTCCTTACCCTAAGCAATGCCGCCCACTCCTCTCCGTTCCGCCCCCGCTTGTTGCTGGGGTACGGGCTTCTGGGGTACTTTTCTGCTGGGAGTTGCTTTTAGGCACGTAATCTGTGGGCCTTCTTTAATTTTTCCTCCCAGTTAGATTGCCGAAAACTTCCCCCAGTCCTGCCAGTGCTAGGGTTTCCTAGTGACTGGAAACTTCCTCTATTAAGACTCCCTTCCCGGGACGGGTCTCCGTCCGCAGCTCTTTTGACTCCCTTTTTATCTTTTATATTTTGTCCTACCTCCCTTCGAAGACAATGGGCTGCTTTTCTGGGCACCTGATGTCCTCTGCTAGTGATCAGAAGTTGTTTTGTGAAATTTGTTCAGCGTTCAAATGTTCTTTAGATGAATTTGTAGGGGAGAAAGTGGTCTCCCCATCCTATTCCTCCGCCATCTTGGCTCCTCCCCTATTTATTTATTTTTAATTTAAAGAAATTTTAGGGGACTTCCCTGGTGGTCTAGTGGTTAAGAATCTGCTTTCCAGAGGGTATGGAGATTCCTTTAAAACGAGGAATAAAACCACCATTTGATATAGCAATCCCACTCCTAGGCATATACCCTGAGGAAATAAAAATTGAAAAAAGACACATGTACCCCAGGGTTCATTGCAGCACTCTTTACAATATCTAGAACATGGAAGCAACCTAGATGTCCATTGACAGATGCATGGATAAAGAAGTTGTGGTATATATACACAATGGAATACTACTCAGCCATAAAAAGGAACATGTTAGAGTCAGTTCTAATGAGGTGGATGAAACTAGAGCCTATTATACAGAGTGAAGTTAAGTCAGAAAGAGAAAGATAAAAATTGTATATTAATGCATATATATGGAATCTAGAAAGCTGGTACTGAACAATTTATTTGCAGGGCAGCAGTGGAGAAACAGCCATAGAGAACAGACGTATGGACACAGGGAGAGGGGAGGAGAGGGTGAGATGTGTGGAGAGACTAACACTGAAACTGGCATCACCGTGTGTAAAATAGATGGCCAACAGGAATTTGCTGTGTGTCTCAGGGAACTCAGACAGGGGCTCTGGATCAACCTAGAGGGGTGGGGTGGGGAGGGTGATGGGAGGAGGTTCAAGAGGAAGGGGATATATGTGAACCTACAGCTGATTCAGGGCTTCCCTTGTTGCTCAGCTGGTAAAGAGTCTGCCTGCAATGCAGGCGACCTGGGTTCGATCCCTGGGTTGGGAAGATCCCCTGGAGAAGGAAATGGCAACCCACGCCAGTATTCTTGCCTGAGAATCCCATGGACAGAGGAGCCTGGCAGGCTACAGTCCATGGGTTCGCAAGAGTCAGACACAACTTAGCGACTAAACTGCCACCATAGCTAATTCATGTTGAGGTTTGACAGAAAACAATAGCATTCTGTAAAGCAATTATCCTTCAATTACAAATTGAATAAATTTTAAAAAAAGCTTCCTTCCAGTGCGGGGAACACGGGTTCGATCCTTGCTGAGGGAACTGAAATCTCACACGCAGTGGGGCAGCTCAGCCCACGCACCACAAGTAGAGAGAGGCCCAGGCATTCAAGCAAGGATCCCCCAGGCCACAGCTGAGACCCCACGCAACCAAAAATAAAGAAATACAATGTTAAAAAATTTTTAAATATGTTTACTTGTTGAGCATTCCCTTCTATATCCTTTTGATCAGCTGGGCTCTGGGAGGAAGGAGAGCCCTGCACCAGCATACCTGGGTGCTGTGTGGGACTCGTCCTGTCCTGGATGCAGCTGAGACCCAGAACTGAGTGAGAAAGACACCAGGAATCCATGCCCGTACATTCACAGAGCCTCCAGTGAGGGCCAGGAGCTCACAGCATCTCCCCTCTGCAGGGCTGGCACGGGGGCTGGACTGGCTCTTCTCTCATCAGCACTACGGCTGCTCACAGTGACTGGGAGAGGAGCTGGCACGGGGGCGAGTCATTGGCCACGTGGGGAGCACAGCGAGGTGGCAGAGGGTCCGCCCTTCCCTCTCGTGGGGGAGATGGGGACGGGCGCTTTCCCTCCCCAGGGCCACAGGGGATCTCTTGTGAGGCGAGACCAGCATGTCAGCCCCCAGGTGGGTGTCCGCTTTGTCTGTGGGCTCTGTGATGAACCTCCGGGCCGCCTGAGGAGGGGAAGGGGAAATGAGAGGCAGATGGCGGGTGGGGAGAGCGCAGAGGGAGGCAGCGGGGCTCACGCTGAGTGCTGCTGCTGCTGCCTCGCCCCAGGGCTGCTCCCAGGCTGCAAGGAATGCACAGGCCTTCCTAGGGACTCGGCTGTCTGCGAACAGAGGATGGGTCGAGTAGCCAGAAAGGCAGTGACAATCCAGCCAGGAGAGGACAGGCTTGTGAGACTTGCTTCCACACCCCTCTCCTGGCCCCCCAGTCTCAGATCCCCGGAAGAGGGAGGAGGAGGATGGGTGTAGGGCCAGATTCCCCTTCACCCTGGGCCATGCAGCTGGGGTCTCACCTCTGCTGGAGGAGGCGAAGAGGTCTGAGTGTTGACTGCGGAAACGAGACTGTTCCAACAGACGAACACGGCCGGGGAGCAGGGCGGTGCAGCCAAGATGCCATTCAGAGCGCTGCCACCCAGTGGACATGGGCTTTCAGCAGGACACAGCTGGGTGAGGGGAGGGGGTCGGTTGTTAGAAGACCATTTCATGTTTATACTCCAACAGATTAAGACTCTGCAATGAATGTGCTACACGTGAAAAACCCTTTCTTAAAAGCAAAAGGGGGAAAAAGAGCTTTGGAACATTTTGGGAGTAGGGAATGTAGAAGTAGGGCAAGGGAGCTGCTGTGAGTGCAGATGAAGAGGGAGGGCCATCAGCAGGGGACCGAGGGGGTCAGGGAGCAGGTCTTTGTCCTTTTGCTTTCAGGGGACCAAAGTCCAACTCATGCTTGCTTCTGGAGAAGTGGGGTTTTATAGGGGGGATCCTGGAGCATCTCATGGAGTCCAATAGTTGAGCTGGGAGGGGGGAGGTGACACAGGTGGGCATAAGTGATGGCAAAATCAGCCCCCTCCCAGTCCTCATTTTTTGCTTCCTGCTATAGGTCAGCCCCAATCTTTCCTCTCACTGTACACAGGTTTGGTCCAAAAGACAGAAAATATGGCCACTCACAGCTTCCAAACATTGTAACATGGAGATTCTATCCCGAGAATTGACTCTCAATGGCCCCAAGTCTAAAATCCAGAGGATGGCCTCACCGGCCAGGTCACGACAGTGGACAGTCAGGCTGGCCGGGAGGGCAGCTCCACAGAGGAGCAGGGAAGGCCCCTCCCGGGGGAAAGAGGATCGGGGCCATCAGGCAGGCACAACTGGTGTTCCTGATGGAAATTAGACTGACACCATGTCCTCTGTAAGGAGTGGGTTCTGACAACCCCACCATCCCACCACCTGCCAGGGTGCCATGCAAGCTGCAGAGGTTCTAATGGTCCTGTGGCTTTCAGCCCTCATGAAACCCATGGCAAGGAAGCAACCTCAGAAATGATAATAGCTGGCATTTATTGCCTACTTACTATGTGCCAGGCCCTGGGCTGCGCTCTCTATGGATTTTCATTGAATCCTCAGGGCAGCTGTATTATTTCCATCCATATCAAGGTCGAGGAGGCAGAGGTTACGTTGGAAAGATTAGGAACCCAAGGCCCTGTGGCTAGTGGAGGCCAGGCCTGGCCCTCCGCCCAGGTCTGTCTTGCTTCCAAGTCCACAAGTTTTTACCATTGAGCTCTCCCGCCTCTGAGACTGAAGGTCTGGGACATGGCATTCCCAGAGAGAGTGGAAAAGTCTTCCAGGCCTGGGATATAGTTCTGCCGTGCAGACCTTCAGGCATCACAAGCTGAGCGTGAGAAGCTTCCTGGGGACTGGCTGGGCCCCCACCAGGTCTCCTGGAGGTCGTGACGAGCATCGGAAGAGGTGACGGCTGTGAGCAGCTGCTGTGACAGATGGAGGGGCTACAGAGCCGGACCCTCCAGCCTGATGGTTTGGAGGACAGGCTCCACTCCCCCCTTCTTATTTTGTCCCTCATCTCCTTTCTCTTCCCTTCTGTTTTTCCCTGTTCCTACACTAGAGGCACGGGAGTTTCCCAGGCACCCAGGGCTTATTAGTCAGGCTCTAGTCACTGACTCACTGGAAAAGACCCTCTTGCTGGGAAAGATTGAAGGCGGGAGTGAAGGGGGTGACAGAGGATGAGATGGTTGGATGGCATCACCGACTCGATGGACATGAATTTGAGTAAGCTCCCGGAATTGGTGATGGACAGGGATGCCTATCGTGCTGCAGTCCATGAGGTCGCAAAAAGTTGGAAAGGACTGAGCGACTGAACTGAACTGAGTTAGATGTAGGCTGCAGGCATCGCTGATGTCAGCAGAGGGCGCCAAAGCCTCTTCACATATCCAAGGCCCAGGCCTGGCCCAAGAGGGTAGAGCAGAGAGGCAGGTTGGCAGGAGGTGGTTATGGCATGCTCCCCACCTGTTCCTCTTGCCTCACTCAGCCTGTCCTCCGTATGCCTCTACACAGAGCTGATGAATGTGCATATGCCTTCCTGTATGTGTGCGTGTGCACATCTGGTCTCCCTGTGTCCAACAGGAAGTCCAAGGTCAGGGCATAGGGACAGATACTCTGTCCATAGCAAGCCACTGATTTTACAGACTTCAGTAAAATCATTTTCTGGGTAGTCGTTATAATTCCTGTTTCTGTCCTATCATGGGACAGGCCAAGAATGACTGCATGCAGGAAGGGGAAAGAACAGTTATCCAACTCTCTGTCTGTACCAGGTCTTGGCTAGAAGCTTTGCACCTATCATCCTGGCTGGCCAGTCCCAACAGTCATGTAAGCCAGGCGATATTAGTCTCATGATACAGATGAGGATGAGGCAGCTCGGGGAGGTTAAGTAACTTGCCTGAGGTCACACAGCTAGGAAGTGGAGAAGGCAAGATTTGAACCCTTGTCTCTCTGATTCCAAAGTCCATGTCAGTTTCACACCTAAAGCTGCTCTCTCAGACTTGTGGTTCCCTTTCATGCAGATACCCCCCTGGCCTCCACATCCCCCCTACCTCAGCAAAAATAATGTGCTTGAGAGCAGTCAGTGAAATTCCAGAGCAGCAGCCGGCTTGCGGCTGGAATGACTGAGAAATGAATGTTGGTAGATAGAGTGGTGGCTTCTGGGGTTCAAGGAATAATATTTAGCAATATTTAGCTGTTAGCTGTGGGCTAGTTAGCTGATGGGAAGTGAGGAACAAGATAGGCTTGGAGGAGAGAGAGAGAGAGAGAAAGAGAATGAATGGAAATGAGGTGCCAGCTGCCTGGCCTGGCTCCTCACCTTCAGAGTTGGGTCTCTGTGGCCAGCTTTGTATGGAACCATAGTGGGTTGGGGTCTCTTCATGAAGGGAAGTCCCAACTTTATCAGGGCTGGTGGGGCAGAGCACAGGGCTTGCAGAGGAGGATCTGCCAGGCCTTTCAGATGGTCTTCTCCACGTATGTGACATTGGTCCATGAGCCATTCCGGCTAGGGGTTGTGGGGGTCCGCAGACTAACATGGGCGCAGCTCAGCTCCAAAGCACTGTGACAACCCCCTGGATGGGCTGGGGTTAGGTCTGTCCCTTAGAGTCGTGTGACCTCAGGTGCCCCTCACGGGCCAGGACATCCCTCTCCTTTCTCAGAAGGGGACATCAAGGCACTTGCTCTGGTGTGCTTGGGTTTGGTTTCCCCAAACACACTGCTTCCCAGAGGAACAGAGAGAGAAGTTCCTGCCTTCTCCTCACATGTCTGTGGTTCTGTCCCCCTCTGCCCTCCTCCTCAACCCACTTTGTCCCCTCCTGGTGAGACCGATGGGGCTGGGCCCCACCCTTCTCCTCAAAGCGCTCCGCCCCCGACTCCTCCCTCAGATTTCACTCAATCAAAGAGCAAGGCCGAGTGTACTAACGATTTGAGTGGTGGACCTCGAAGAGGGTCTCATACCCCCACTTGAGATGCATTTCTTTCCATCCTTCTCCCCACTTAGGTCCCCGTTTGCCTACCCAGATCCTTCAAGGTGGGCAGCACAGAGGGCCACCAGGCACCAGGGGGCAGCTTCCCGAGAGGGCCATGAAGAGTATAAATAACAGTGACACTGTTCTATGTAGAAGAAGCACCCCGGACTGGGGAGACGAAGGCGGGACAAATGGGGAAAGTAGGTTTGACCTAGATGCACCACCCCGTGTGAATCAGGGAGCAGGGGGAGCTGCTGAGCGCAGGGAGCCTGGCTCTGTGATGACCTGGAGGGGTCGGGGTGGGGGGCGGCCGGGAGGGAGGCTTAAGAGGGAGAGGACATACATGTGCTCACAGCTGATTCCCAGGTGGCGCTCGTGGTAAGGAGCAACTCACCTGGCAATGCAGGAGACAGGATTCGCTCCCTTGCCAGGAAGATCGCCTGGAGGAGGAAATGCAACCCACTCCAGTATTCTTGCCTAGATAATCCCATGAACAGAGAAGCCTGGCAGGCTATGGTCCATAGGGTCACAAAGAGTTGGACATGATGGAAGTGACTTAGCACACATGCCTGCATAGCTGAGTCACGCTGTTGTAAAACAGAGACTATCACAACACTGTAAAGCAATTATACTCCAATGAAAAAAAAAAAAAGAAGTAGGGCCACAAACCTTCTGGGACTCTGAGTCTGAGCAGCTGAACAAGAGGCCCCAAAGCCAGAGCGCAGGACACCTGCCTATGCCTGACCCCCGCCCTGGCCACACTGCAGGTGACACATGGCCAGTTACTTTGCTTGTGGGCCTGGATTCCCTTGTCTGAGTTCTCTTCCCTGCAGACCACACTGCCTTGAGGAGAGGAGCACGGACCCCTGGGCCAGGCCCCAGCAAGTCCACACAGACCCTGTGTTGCCTGCTTGACCACCCCCATGGATTCTACTCTGAGTTTCCCCTGGGGCGCTCACAGCCAGGACCTGGAGCACGTGCTATAAATCCAGCGAGTGCTCCGATTTCAGCTCACCTGGGAGCCATAGCTTGCTGGGGACAGAGCCAGGAAGTGAAGGCACTGGTGGCTTTCTGAGGAAGAAAAGAAGCTCTGGTCTGTAGCACTTGCCAACTTCCATGTAATAAATACTGCCCCCACCCCCCATGACCAATGTCAGGCTCCCAACATGAGGTGCAGAGTGCAGAATTGGGAAGAGATGTGGAAATATGTTTTTTCGAGCCAGCACCAGCCCATTTCCGTACTCCATCCAGCCAGGGGAAGGGCATAAATTCAGGAACCCTAACCTCAAGGATGTGCTGGCTTCCGCCAGGGAGGAGCCAGCGAGCAGACCCCTAAATCATTGTGTCGTTCCCCCCCCCCCCCCGGCCAGGTCGATTTAACAAGGAAGAATAAAAGCTCAAGAGTGTGCTTGAGAGTGAATCTCTATCCAAAACAATCGGACCACTTAGCAATTTAATTGCCTAAATATTTTTTATCTAATTTAATAATTGCTCATCCTAGAATTAATTGGACCACATGTTATTGAATTAGAGGGATTTAGTCCCTAAATTGGGGGCTTTCCTGGTGGCTCAGTGGTAATGAATCTGCCTGCAATGCAGGAGAACTGGGTTCGATCCCTGGGTCATGAAGATCCCCTGCAGAAGGGCACAGTAACCCACTCTAGTATTCTTGCCGAATTCTCGGACACGACTGAGTGAATGACTAAGCAGCAGCAGCAATGCCTGAACTGAAGAAGCAATGAAACATTTGCATCTTTGAATTGAGTCTCTGATTCACACTTGGCTGGGGTAGGGGCAGGGGACCTGGTTCTCTAGCGAGCTGCCCTCGCTCCCCTGGAGCAGGTTTCATGGTCAGCTAGGGCTGAGCCTGCGCCCTCCTCGGCCCTCTGGTGCTGCTGTCTGAGCTCATCACTCCCCAGTTTCCACCTCTGTCCCTAGGTTCTCCCATTTCTGCCCCTGACTTTCTCCATTCTGGGCTGTCCTCTCATTTCTGCCTCTGTCTCCACTCACCTTACCCCTCTCTGGCTTCGTCACTTCTTTGTGCTTTTTGTCTGTCTGTGTTTGCTTTATACCTCAGTGTCTCTTCCCTTCTTGTCTCTGCTGTCTGTTTTCCTTGGCCTCTCTCTCTTACACACACACACACACACACACACACACCCCTGGCCCTGTCTTCTAGCCCCAGTTCCTCCTTGTTTTGGTTCTCCAGCTGCATGCTGGTCCTGCCCACATCCACCCTGGCACTCTGTGGCCTGATTGACCTCCCTCCTCCTGGCTGATCTGCCTGCCTCTTGAGGGAAGATCAGAGCCAGAACCTGTGCTACAAACCCCTCCACACACTGTAGGTTTCATTACACCTGGGAGCCGCAGATGGTTGGGGTGGGGATGGGGCACACGCAGTGGAGGCTCTCTGAAGAAGATGAAATTCTTGCCTGGTAACATTTCTGATTTCCATGGTGTAAATACTCTCATCGTGGCTGGTTCCAAGCTACCGATGCAATGATGATGCGTTGGAAGAGATGCACACGTTGATTCCTCTGAGCCAGTGAGAGCTGATTTCAGCAAACCAGCAGGCGATGGGGTAGAAGGAGATTCTACAGGACCTGGCGGGGGGCTGCTAACAGGGCTGACCACAGAGCAGCCCACCGCAGCCTTCCCAGGGCGAGGGCTCACGAGGCCTGACAGGCTCTGCTCTGGGCTGACAGGCGACTCCACCCTGGCCACTGCTTCCTTGAAGCTGTCTTCACAGTATGCTCACCTTAGGGTGGGGCAGGGCGCCCGAGGATTGACCTTCTTAGTCACCAAGGAAGGCTTCCAAATGAAATGCCTGCTTTGAGCTTCAGGCGGAGGGACAAGGGCATATAGAAGGGCATTACGGCCAGAGGGCGTGAGCCAGACTGTGTGTGCATGTGTGTGTGTGTGTTTATGTGTCTGTATGTGTATGTGTGCGTGTGTGTGTCTGTCTGTCTGTCTGTGTGTGTCTGTGTGTGGGGCGGGGGGGCAGGGACAAGGCTGCTCTGGGTGGTATTGGTGATCACGAGCAGTTCAGTGTGGCCAGAGCATGACGTTTGAGCTGGAGGGGAGAAGTGGTGCAGAAGAGGCAGACGTGGGTGAGGGTCCTGGAAGGCTCTGAAGACTGAGTGAAAGAACCCGGGCTTTCCTGGCAGACAGTGAGGAGAGTAAGGCGATCTGTTGTTTTAGTTTGGTTTCCAGACCTTTACACAAGGATTTGGGTGAAGGCATTTTTTTTTCAGATGATTCCAGGAAGCAGGTGAGGGATGGGGAAGTAGACTGGATGGAGATAAGTGGAGAAAGCGTGCGTTAATGAGCAGGCTACTGCTGTGAGCAATCGGGACCCCAGCTGAGTGGGGTCCCTGTGAACATGGCCCAGAATTGTCTAATTGAGGGTGAAAAGCAGGGGTATTAATCTGCTGTGACTCGTCCCTTGTTGGTGGATGGTTTCTCTTGGGGTGTCAACGCCCCAGCCTTCCAGTCTGACCCACGTGGGGGCCAAGTTCACCCCAGGGTCAGACAATGCCCTTATGAAGAGAGACAAGATGCTGCGGGTCTGGGTCCCAGGCCAGGAGCAGCAGGGAAGCCTGTTCTGGCCAGGGCCTTTGGACGGCTGCCTCTGCGTCGGGCAGCACCGGGCTTGTTAGTGACCCTGGGGAGGGCGTTTCAGAGGGATAAAGGGGCAGCAGCCAGAGAGGGCTGACATACGGGGAGAACGAGCGCTGGCACAGAGGACACAGTTGCTCCAGAAAGCACAGACAGTGGGGAAACTGTTCAAGGCCTGTGGGCCTGGGGCAAAGGTGAGCCGCACGTGGACAGGGGAGCTGCTCAGAGCCCGGGGGGAGCAAGCAAGTGGCCTGGCCACTCTACCTGCTGCCAGACCTGGGCTGATGGAAGTCTGCATGGGGCCTCCGCTGAGTCCTGCAGACTCAGATTGAGTCCTCCAGACTTGGCCCGGGCACTAGTTGGCACCTTTCACTTCCATATTTCTCCCTGGGTGTCACGGATTGGCTCAACACAACCGGTTCTGTGAGCATTTATTGGATTGATGGGAAGCAGACAGGCCTGTCCTCTCCAGGGGGAGCAGAGCCCGCATTAGGCATCAAGGGGGAGAGGAAAGGAAAAGGACCTTCCTGTCTGCTAGTCTGGGAAAGTTACACCTGTGCAATGACCGATACAGGCAGTGGACTGGGGCAGGTACCAACTGATGTGTCAGGGAGCGAGTAATTTGGAGAGGAGACGGCTGTTCTGCAGAGCTGGGGCAGCCAAACTGAGTGATGAGGGATAATTAGAGGTAGAGAAAAGAGGGGTCAGGCATTCCTGGACCTCAAAGACTTCCTAGCCTGTTTACCCCTTCCTGGTAACTGAGTATCACATACCTTCAAGATTAGGGACCTGCTGCCTACAGAGGCCATCCTTTCATAGCCAGACCCAGTCACCATCCTTTGATGGATCAGACTGCCTTTGCTGGGGATTGACACAGAGGATGTTGGAAGGAGTTGAGGCGTGTCACACTGGGCCTCCAGCTTAAAGGAAGAGGCTGCTTTCTTAGGTTCAGTTTCCTGGTGTGTAGGCTGAATAGCAGCTCCCACCCAAAGATGTGTATGCTGTGTGCTCAGTCGCTTCAGTTATATCTGACCCTTTGCAACTGACTCTCCTGGTGGCTCAGATGGTAAAGCATCTGCCTACAATGCAGGAGAGCCAGGTTCAATCCCTGGGTTAGGAAGATCTCTTGGAAAAGGAAATGGCAACCCCCTCCAGTAGTCTTGCCTGGAAAATCCCATGGACGGAGGAGCCTGGTAGGTTATAGTCAGTCCATGGGGTCACAAAGAGTAGGACACGACTGAGCGACCCCACCAGACTCCTCTGTTCATGAATTCTCCAGGCAAGAATACTGGAGTGGGTTGCCATGCCTTCTCCAGGGGATCTTTCCGACCCAGGGATTGAACATGCATCTCCTGCATTGCAGGCAGATTCAATACCCACTGAGCCACGTGGGAAGCCTCCCCCAAAGATATCAACATCCCAATCCCCAGAACCTGGATGTTGCCTTAGATGACTTCGCAGATGTGATTAAATTAGGGTTCTTAAGAGGGAGAGATCATGCTGGATTATCAGATGGACTCCAATTGTCATCCCAAGGGTCTTTATGAAAGGGAGGTAAGAAAGTCCAAGGAGGAAGTAGGAAGCAGAGATTGGAGTGATATGAGAAAGGGGCCACCAGCCAAGGAGTTCAGGCGGCCTCCAGGAGCAAGAGAAGACAGGAACCAAACTCTCCCCTGGAGCCTCCAGGAGAGACCAGCCTGCCTGCACCTTCACTGTAGCTCAGAGGCTGAATGTGGACTTCTGGCCTCCCGAGCTGGAAGAGAATAAATGGGTGTTGTTTGAAGACAGTTTGTGGTGATCTGTTTCAGCAGCTAGAGGAAATGAATACGCCTGGGAGGCAGACTTGGCGATAAAGTTTTGCATGTAGGGGTTTGAGTGAGGAGTGCCCCTCACCTGTAGGGTGAAGGAAGCCGAGATGGGCAGAGCAGGCTGCTGAAATGCTGTGGAGTCACAGACAGTCACTGGCTTCAGAGCGTCCTTAAAATTCTCCCACAGGTGGTCCTCCCAACACAGCCTGTGGACAACCCTGAACATGCCTACCCTCCCCATCTTCTTTACTGGTATCCTGGTACTGTGTCCTGCGGTTCCTCTGCTCTACGGGGACTGTGCTGTGCATAGGAGTAACAGGGATGAGATCACATGCTGAGCATTTAAGCAGTTTCAGAAAGTACTTTTGTTTCTCTGCAATTTTCACTTTTTGGGTCAGTTGCAAAGCTATAGAAATCATTTTAAAGAGAACAGGTAAGTCTTTTGTTTAATTACAATTCTAACAATTATCTCCATTTCAGAAGAATTCTGTCTAGTTTCCTCCCCAAATGTATAGTACTCCACACTATTTGCAATCACAGTGAATGTACATTTTTGAATATCCTGCTTTTTTCAAGTCACATTATATTGCATTTTTGACCAGATTTGAAGTTAGAACTTGAGGTCTGAAGCAGAAGGAGCAGGATTGTTGGCAGTCCCTCAGTGGCTGCAGAGGTGGAGAGTTCCTTCAGCTGGGGAGCCAGGCAGGAAGGCCTGTCTTCCTCGTCTCCTATAAAGGCTGTTTGATGAACTGTGGCCCGGTGTTCACCTGTGGCACTTGCCAGGGTTCCTGGTCCTGGTTGCAGTGGAAGGCGGTGATGAGCATCAAGTACGTGGCGACGAACTTCAACAAAAGCATTTGTTGGGAGGACTGGCTTAATTTGAAAAATTCTGGCTAGCATTCTATAGAAACCTGGGGTCACTGATCTTAGTGAGGTTGGGTTTCAGGCATACCCAGAGGTGGCTCTAGGGCCAGGTTTGGCTGAGGCCCACGGGTCCCTTTCCTGGGCTGGAGAGGCCCTGTCCTACACTGGCCTCTCATTCAGGGCCTGAGACCTTTCATTTAGTGCAGATGACTTAATTAGACCTGAGACTCCAGAGAGCTGCAGGCTCAGGAGGCTTCCCACTTTGTCCTAAGACCTTGTTCACAGGAGAGTTCAGCGATTTTTTTAGTCACATGCATGATTTTGTTGTCCGTCAGAAGCTGGAAGGGACAGAGGCTGCCAGAAGCCATGGGACTGGAGAATCACCTTTAGGAACACCTTTGATGAACTGATACTTGTTTATCTGTGATATGGCCTCCTTTGGATAGGTGTGGGAATGGTGGAAGGGGAAGAAAGAAAGAAGAAGGTGGATGAAAAGTTAGAATAGGAGGAGAAAAGGAGAGTGCACTCTCTGTCCCTCCTCTGTCCCCATGCATGACCAGCTCTCCAGGTTCCTGTCTCTACCATCTCCATATCCCATGTTGCTCAGAGATCAGCCAGGTTAGAAGGCCAGAAAGTGAAGGGAACACAGGCCTTTCAGCACAGTGTCACACATTCTGTACAGAGAAGACCACCCCCCAGGCCCCCTGCTCTGGGCTTCCCCTAGTCAAGGTGGGCTCCTTGCTCCTGGGAGCAACCATGGGCTGCAGAGAGTGGGTGTGCACTGCCCAAGTGGAGACTTCACTCTGGGGTGTTGGGGAGAAATCCTGGGTTTCTGTTTCAGGGTCAGCAATCTTCCGAGTAAATCTTGTTTTAGGGGTTGATCCTGCAGTTCACAGAAGGAGTGGCCGGGGACTCACCAGCCTGGGCTCTGCACCAGAGGAGGAGGAGGGGCAGCGGGAGGGAGGACGGCACATCTTCTCAGAGAGGCTGCCCAGGGCACGCGCTGCTTCTCTTTCCAGTCTTGGGTTTTTAACTCCCAACAGGCGAGGGCAGGGCCAGGCTGGTCACCACAGGGACTGACTGGTCACCTTCTCTTCCCTTACACTGTGCCTGCTGTCTTTCTAATCAGACGTTCCCCTAGAGATGCCCTCTGTTTTGTGTGAGGTGAAGCTGGGGCCTGAACTTCCAAGTCTTGGCCTCAGGGATGAGCTCTCCACTGTGATTCCTCAATGGTGTGGAGGTGGAGGGCTCATGTCCTCCCAGGCAGGGCAGCTGGTTAAGGCCCATCAGAGACATGGGTGGGGGAGAGACTTTACACTGATAATTCAGAAGCATATGCACTTTGAAGGCCATGATGCACAGTAGGTACACATTTTGCAAAAAGCCCCTCTCCATTCACTACATGTATGTGAGTACTGAGCACCAACTTATACCCATGCAGATGAATCAGAAATTTCAGGAAATAGGGTTTATCCTTACCATGTGCAATGCTCTCCATCAGTTTCTACTTCTTGTCATTCCCTTTTATTCCAATCTGCAGTATAATGTAAGCGGCATGCCACTTAAAGATGATTACCTGAAACACGAAAGACATGGTATGGCTCTCTCTCTTCCTGCAAACCGATAGTTCACTGCCTTAGAAGAAGGATCCAGAAAATCAAGCTGGAGTCAGTGTCTGTCGGCCCCTTGGGGTCTGATTCATCCTGTGGGCTCCACCCAGCTCCCCACAGTGTTCACTGACCTCACCACTTCCTGAGGGCCAGGCTGGCAGGGTAGGCTGACCGCTCTCCCCCCGTCTCCAGTGTCCAGCTCCTTGGAAAGCCGGTCCGCCCTGTGCATGTGTGGATGTACTATCCTTGGGGTCTGGGGGTCAACAGTGGATGGGGCCTGAGCTACAACTCAGTCTCCCAAGCAAAACATCACACATAGAGCCTCTGCTCCTTGTATTTCATGTTTTAAAACTCTAATTATACAAATATAAAAGGAGAGTTAGAGCAAAAATCATAAAAATGGTTTATTATCCTTCCATATAACTTCTTTTGTTTTTGAGAACCAGCCACATTTCTTCTTTTTTTAAAAAAAAATGGAAAGTGCTTCTCTGGTGGTTCAGTGGTAAAGAATCCGCCTGCAGAAGACATGGGTTTGATCTCCGATTTAAGAAGATCTCGCGTGCCGCAGAGCAACTGAACCCATGCGCCATAACCATTGAGCCAGTGAGCCAGCCCAGGAGCCACGGCAACTGAGCCCATGTGCCCCAACTCCTGAAGCCCGCGCACCTGCAGCCTGTGCTCTGCAAGGAGAGGAGCATCACAATGAGCAGCCTGGGCATCGTGACGAGAGAGGGGGCCCCTTTGTCGCAACTAGAGGAAACCCCTGCAGCCACAGAGACCCAGTACAGCCACAAACAAAGGAATAGGTGGTGTGCATGTGTCTGCTCTTCATATAGAGTTAGTTTATAATCAGATATGTTCATCAGGACTGATCTTATGTCTACATAGATCAGTGGCAGAACTGGAAGCCCAGACCTGAGGGCTGACAGGCAGTAGGGAAAATGAGGTCTCTCAGTCCCTGGTCTGGGGCAGCAGTAGCGGCTCTTTCTTACTTGGGGCCGGGCCTGTCTTCTAGGCCTCTTAGGGAATGTGGTGAAACCTGTATGAGGGCCCTTTAATGGCAGGCGCCTGAGACCTAGCTAGAGTTCACTCTCCATTTTCCTTGTTCAGCTGTGTATGGCTGTGAGTGCAGGCATCCAACTCAGATGCTGGTGGGTATGGGATTCAGACCACTGAGGGTCACTTGCAAGAGGAAGTTCTGGAGAACTTGACCTAACTCAGATTTCTCTTTTGGAAGATCTGGAGACACCGTGTCATTTCTGAAGGAAGATGACAATTGAATTGGGTGACTCCGATGTAGTTCAGGGACCAGACTCACCCTGACATTCTAGGGGAACTTTCTTTTGAACTCACATGGCCCTGCTTCGTTGTGACAGTTGTGGTGGACAAACATCCTGAGGACTTCCAGGGCTCAGCCCTCCCCGGCATCCTGAGTTCTCCTACTTGGGAAATTTTCCTCCTTCTCTCTTGGCAGATACTTCTCTGGTCCCAGACCCATTATTGAGGGGGATGGTGAGGATGGGGCAGAAGTGGGTGTAAGCATGCAAGGTATCAACAGCCCAAGCCTGGGACCATCTCCAGAAAGAATCATGGGGAGGCTGCTATGGTGCATCTATGCCCTGAATTGTAGTGGCTGAGGCACAAGGTCTGTGGGAAGAGGAGAGGTGAGAGGAGGAGGAGGGAGGAGCAGGACAAGGAGAAGGAGGAAGAGGTAGGCTGAATTAATGGCACCCAGAAATATCCAGGTCCTAGTCCTTTGAACCTATGAATGTTACATGCTAACAGGAACTTTGCAGATGTGGTTATGGTAAAAATCTTGAGATGGGACGATTACCCATGTTATCCAGGTGGGACCTAAATGTAATTACATGCATCCTTACAAGACACAGGCAGAGGGAAATCCTACTATGAGAGAAGGCCATGTGACAACCTCAGCAGAGAGAGAGAGAGAGAGAAAGAGAGAGAGAGATGCAAAGTCACTTCTCTGTGGGATTTGAAGATAGAGGAAAGGACCATGAGCCAAGGAATGCGAGCTATGCCACTATAGAAGCTGGAATAGTTATCAGCCTCTGGAGGGAGTGCAGCCTTGCCAACACCTCAGTTTGGGGCTAGTGAAAGTGATTTCAGACTTCTGACCTCCAGAAATGTAAGAGAAAAAATGAGTACTGTTTTAACCCACTGTGCATGCATGCTAAGTCGCTTCAGTTGTGTTCAACTCTTTGCGACCACAGAGAAGCGGCTCCTCTGTCCTTGGGATTCTCCAGGCAAGAATACTGGAGTGGGTTGCCATACTCTCCTCCAGGAGATCTTTCCGACCCAGGGATTGAACCCACATCTCTTATGTCTCCTGCATCAGCAGGTGAGTTCTTTACCATTAGCGCCACCTGGGATGCCTCTTTAACCCACTGAGTTGGTAGTATTTTGTTACAGTGACTATATTAAAATAATACAGTGATCAAAATACTTCATGGGTCTGACCTGAACAACACTATAAACATTTGGAACAAGTCGGTGCCATACTTGATGCCCGCCTATAACTGGTGGGAGCCATCACATCTTCCAGAAGCAGAAGAGCATTCCTTTTTCCTTTATTTCAGAATTGCAGCACTAATTTCCATTCTTAGAGGAATAAACCATACGTTAAAAAAAATAGAAATAGAAAAGGCAGAGAAGGGTTAGAGACAGGCTAGAAACAAATAACAAGGGCAACAAATAGAAAATGATAACAAGTATGGTAGATATTATGCCAATACTTATTTTGAATACTACGGGTCTCAGTTCAGTTCAGTTCAGCTGCTCAGTCGTGTCCGACTCTTTGCGACCCCATGAACCTCATCATGCCAGGCCTCCCTGTCCATCACCAACTCCCGGAGTCCACCCAAACCCATGTCCGTTGAATTGGTGATGCCATCCAACCATCTCATCCTCCATCTTCCCCTTCTCCTCCTGCCCTCGATCTTTCCCAGCATCAGGGTCTTTTCAAATGAGTCAGCTCTTTGCATCAGGTGGCCAAATTTTTGAAGTTTCAGCTTCAACATCAGTCCTTCCAATGAGCACCCAGGACTGATCTCCTTTAGGATGGACTGGTCGGATCTCCTTGCAGTCCAAGGGACTCTCAAGAGTCTTCTCCAGCACCACAGTTCAAACAAATCAATGCTTCGGCGCTAAGCTTTCTTTACAGTCCAACTCTCACATCCATACATGACCCCTGGTAAAACCATAGCCTTGGCTAGACGGACTTCTGTCGGCAAAGTAATGTCTCTGCTTTTTAATATGCTATCTAGGTTGGTCATAACTTTCCTTCCAAAGAGTAAGTGTCTTTTAATTTCATGGCTGCAATCACCATCTGCAGTGATTTGGGAACCCAGAAAATTAAGTCAGCCGCTGTTTCCACTGTTTTCCCATCTATTTGCCATGAAGTGATGGGACCAGATGCCATGATCTTAGTTTTCTGAATGTTGAGTTTTAAGTCAAATTTTTCACTCTCCTCTTTCAGTTTCATTAAGAGGCTCTTTATTTCTTCTTTGCTTTCTGCCATAAGGGTGGTGTCATCTGCATATCTGAGGTTGTTGATATTTCTCCCAGCAATCTTGCTTCCAGCTTGTGCTTCTTCCAGCCCAGCATTTCTCATGAAGTACTATGCATAGAAGTTAAATAAGCAGGGTGACAATATACAGCTTTGACATACTCCTTTTCCTATTCGAAACCAGTGTTGTTCCATGTCCAGTTCTAACTGCTGCTTCCTGACCTGCATACAGGTTTCTCAAGAGGCAGGTCAGATGGTCTTGTATTCCTATCTCTTTCAGAATTTTCCACAGTTTATTGTGATCCACACAGTCAAAGGCGTTGGCATAGTCAATAAAGCAGAAATAGATGTTTTTCTGGAACTCTCTTACTTTTTGGATGATCCAGCAATTTGATCTCTGGTTCCTCTGCCTTTTCTAAAACCAGCTTGAACATCTGGAAGTTCACGGTTCACGTATTGCTGAAGCCTGGCTTGGATAAGTTTAAGCATCACTTTACTAGTGTGTGAGATGAGTGCAATTGTGTGGTAGTTTGAGCCTTCTTTGTTATTGCCTTTCTTTGGGATTGGAATGAAAACTGACCTTTTCCAGTCCTGTGGCCACTGCTGACTTTTCCAAATTTGCTGGCATATTGCATGCAGCACTTTCACAGCATCATCTTTTAGGATTTGAAATACTGGTCTAAATGTACCAATTAAAATGCAGAGGTACACAAACTGTTGGGAAGGGTACTCAATCTTGGGGGTTAATGATGCTAATACAGTAATAAGTATCTTTAATACTTACTATACCTGATGCTTTAACCCCTCATCTCTTATTTAATCCTCATCATTCTTATGCCCATTTTACAGATGAATGGGAAGGGGGAGCCTAAGAAAGATGAAGAAATTTCCCCAAAATACAAAGCTGGTAAGGGATCCCAGCAGGATCCCAATGCAGTCTGATTCCAGGCTCTTAATGTAATCCATCTTGTTCCCAAATGCACGCTATAAATAAAGTTTCTGTAAGAAAAAGGTAATTCTTTGCCAAGCCTTGACAATGTGATTTTGCATTTAACTCAGAGATACTTGTCTTGGGCTTCGCTGGTGGCTCAGACGGTAAAGAATCCACCTGCAATGCAGGAGACTTGGGTTCGATCGCTGGGTTGGGAAGATCCCCTGGAGGAGGGCATGCAACCCACTCTAGTATTCTTGCCTGGAGAATTGCATGGGCAGAGGAGCCTAGTGGGCTACAGTCCATGGGGTTGCAAAGAGTTGGACATGACTGAGTGACTAAGCACACATACTTGTCTTAGGAGATCCACTCCTCTCATCCTTTTATAACATTCTTATAAGCACTGAAAAAAATCAACCCTTCCCAAGAGATTTTGGCGCTTACACCCCTCCATCATGGCAGTATCAACAGACCAGCCAAACATTCAAAATTACATCAGACATGTATGGCATGTAGGGGAAAGAGAAGTTTCTTTCTGCTTGGTTGTGTTAAGAGATAAGGAAATGCAGGAATAAGGAGAAACTAGAAAGAAGAATCATTATTTGATAAAACATTGATTCACATCCTGGAGGGCTAAAGGAAGAGTCCTGAGTAGCATCCCCTCAGTTAATTGAAGCAACACATTGGAGAGCATAAAAGAAACCCTTGAAGTCAGGCCCTCAGACTCTGGCCATGCTAACTGAGAGCAACGTCCTGACTCCATTCTGGCAGCAACCGTTATCGAACAAGCTTCATGGAAGCATGTGGGCGGGTGGAGAAACAGTTAATGTCATACAGCCTTCCTCTGACAGGTAAGAGAAGATCCCCATGGACAGATCTAATTCTAAGGTACACAGAACTCTTTTGTTGCCCTGGCTGATGCTGGTTGCTGATAGACTGACAGCATTGCAAGGTTTACTAGAGAAGCATGCCAGACTTAAAGGACTTTACCCAAGCCCACAGGAAAGGGATGGTTTGAGACAGCTTCACTTGACTACTGGATAAACAGAGAGACTGGTGAGAGGAGATGAGACAGGGCAGGGACTGACACCAAGCCAAGTGTTCTCAGGTGTGCAGTGAGCCTACAAGTGAAGTGAGACAGCGAAACAAGAAACTCTTCTGCCATCATTCACCCCAGAGGGAGTTCTCCCATGGAGACACTGGGTTCGACCTCCTCTCTACCTTTTGCTTTGCTAGTTACTTAGTTCACCAATGCCTTCAAGCACCAGCACAGTGATACACACACACATACATACATACATGTGTACATAACTACAGAAAGAAAGGAGAGAAAGAAAGAAAGCAAACATCCTTAGGCATAAGGGAGAGAGCCTAGGAATCCTATAACTAAGGACTATAACACAATGGGGCTTCCCAGCTGGCGCTAGTGGAAAAGAACCTGCCTGCCAATGCAGGTTAGATGTAAGAGATGTGGGTTCAATCCCTGGGTCAGGAAGATCATGGCCACACACTGGAAGAGAGCATGGCAACCCGCTCCAGTATTCTTGCCTGGAGAATCCCATGGACAGAGGATCCTGGCAAGCTGCAGCCCATAAAGTTGCAAAGAAAAGGTCATGACTGGAGCTACTTAACATGCATGCGTAACACAATGAAGGTCAGAAGCAAAGGGAAACTTTCAAGTGAATTAAACATTAGAAAACCACAGATGGGTTCCAGCTAAAGTACAGAAGGAACAAATAATCTATACCTTATTCTCTTCTCTCTCATTGGACATGAAACAGGCATAGGTGTCTGGTATTCATCTAAGTGGCAAAATGAATTATATAGACAAAACCAGTGATTTCAGGAAATGAAGTGTTCATTGCATCCTGTGACTGCTAAGAAAGATTTACCATCATGGAAAACTCCAACATGAATGGAACTTTCAAGATCAAGCCTCATTGACCTTCTCCATATTTGCATGCATTAGTCCCCACTAAAGAACCTGGAGTTCATTCAGACTCTTCTTAAACATGATCACTATTGACTAATTTATTATTCTCTCAAGCAACCTATCAACAACCTGCAGAGTAACTCCCTCAGGGAATCCATTAGAGATCATTCAGGCAAGAAAAGACTAACCTCTGAGACTGGAGGGGATGGACTGCTGTTACTGCAAAGGAACATTGGAAGGATTTTCAAGTTCAAGATTCCACACTCATCAGATTCTGCCCAGATACACTCCTCTCCCGATTTTCAGAATCCCAAATATGCCTTACTTTACATAAGAGACCTACCAGGCTGGGAATTGAAAATGTATTGCAAGCCATCACAGGAGTAGACATAGGTTTGGTTTTTAGAACTCTGAAATCTGGGGAACATAGGAGATGTGCTTGAAAACTCAGTTATAATAGTTATGAGTTTTGTTATTTGAATCATATTAATATGTATGAATCTACATTCTACATTAGTAAAGCAATGGTAATGATAATTCCCAAGGTTGTGATGGGAAAACAGAGGCAAACCTCAGATCCTGACATCTGTGTATATTCTATTTCAATCAAACAAGCTTGATTCCTAATGTGAGATTAGGAACCCCAGCACCCTTTGAACAAATCATCCTATATCTACAATCCCATTAGCAGGACTCAACTTCTCTGTTCATCATTTTACTGAAGGTGCAAATTCTTTTTCCCCTACGCATGCCCTGTTCTCTAGAGCTTCCTTCTCCACTCCCTGCTCCCTGTTCTCTAGAGCTTCCTTCTCCACTCCCTGCTCCCTGTTCTCCAGGACTTCTGCTTCAGGTCCCGTTATCCTCACACTTTCCCAACCTGCCTCTCAGCAGCAGCCCTCAGCTCAGCCTCTGCAAGTTGCTCTCAGGTGGAGCAGCTGCCCTGTCCCTCCCTGGTTGCCCCCACCCGGCCCCAAGCCCGTTTCCATCACTGACAGCCCCCATTTCCTTCACAGCTGAAGGAGAAAGCCAGTCTGACCCTGGCCATGGGGACATTCCCCCTTCCACCCCAATTCACCTTCATCCGTCCCGGGAGAATGTGCTGGGTGGCTGGCTGGGGAAAAACAGATGTGAAGGAACCAACCTCCAGCACTCTGCAAGAGATGAAGCTGAGAATAGTGGAGCCCCAGGCCTGCAGCCACTTCCCTGCTTTTGACCACAGTCTCCAGCTGTGTGTGGGCCATCCTCAGAGCACAAAATCTGCATTTAAGGTGATTCTCAGACTACATACTTCCCCACAAATCACTGTCCAGGGTGCAGACACCTTTGGAAGGAGACGGAGTTTGGAGTGTCAGCCAGTGACCAAGTGTGAGACCTCAGGTCTGAGGACTAGGACTGTCCCTCTGCAGATCCTCCTCCCTCGGCCCTATAGGGTCTCTGACCAGGGTCTGCTCAGGGTCAGGGGGTGCTGTCCAGGGTCAGGGGGTGCCAGGAAGGAAAGGAAAGAGCATCAGAGACATATCACCTCATGAGGAGCCAGTGTTCCTGAGCCTAATGGCAGGTCCGACCAACTCAGAGTTGGGACATCAGGGAGGACAGGGTGGTTTCCCAGCTCATCTTCTCTCTCTCCTTTTCCTTCTCTGTCCCACAGGGAGACTCGGGGGGCCCTCTTCTGTGTGCTGGGGTGGCCCAGGGCATTGTCTCCTATGGACAGTCCAATGCAAAACCCCTGCCGTCTTCACCCGGATCTCCCATTACTGGCCCTGGATCGACAAGGTCCTGAACGAGAATTAACCGGGAACCTGAGCCATCCTGAGGGGAAACCAGAGCAGGACTCCGGCAGGTTCTCTGTGCCACTCACCCTGGATCTGCCTCTGGTTTTCCCCTTAAAGCCCCATCACGCCCCTAATCCTCAGGAAGGCCCCTCCAGGTCACAGAATTCCCAATAAATCTCGGTGAACACCTGGCTTCCAGACCTGAGCGTGTGTCTCCTCTCTCTTCTCCCAGCATCAGGCATTCCAGCAGCTTTGAAAGGGGTCAGTGTGTGGTGTGTGTGTGAAAGAGACAGAGAGGATACAGTGAAGAACAGTAGGGATAGAAAGAAGAGAAAGGGGTCCCCTGGAGTGGCAGGACCCCTATGTCCACCTCAAAGAAGAAAGTATAGCAGATCCTTCCGGGCCTTCATCATCAACTCTGAGTCATCTTTAGGGCTCTTCAGAATCACTACAAACATGCTGAATCGCAGGGTGTTTAGAGCATCCCTGGCCTCTCCCCATTGGGTGCCAGTATCAACATCCTCCTCTCCCCTAAGTTCCAAACTCTCCCCTAAGAACCAAACATGTCTCCAGGCTTTGCTAAATGTCCCCCAGGGGAGATGTCATGTTGGTGGGGATGTTGGGGGGAGGTGGTAGGCAGGGCGTTGTGAAGGAGCTGGGCAGGAATCAGCTTCAGTTGAGAAGTTCAGGCTTAGATGCATTTGGTTCACACTGGGCCCCCCTCACATTCCACCTCGATAAGAGAAGATCTACCATCTGTGCAGCTTTGATGTGAGATGCAGAGAAGATCTTGTCTCACTCACTTCTGCAAAAGGGATACATGGAGCTGATAAGAGGAGGGACAGCATCACAAGTCCTGCACGAACCACAGCCACAAACGGCTGCTCCCAACCACACTAGCCTGTGTGACCTCCACCACGTCCAGCACCGGGCAACACGGAGGGAAAGGGTGAGCCCTGTGAGGACAGGGGGACACTAAATCTATCTCCTTTGCCCAGGAGTAGAACAGCCTTGATGTGTAGGATGAAGGCTGCCTCCTGGGTTCTGTGTAATTACCGGCTGCCGTGAGAGCACACATGAATTGGGTAATAGGCTCGTCCTTCACGCTGAGTGTCAGCCTGACCCCTGCTTCTGTGTCCTTGGAGACCAGCCCAGAGTCAACAGTCCCCCAGTGTCTTCATGTGGAGCAGATCAGGAACCTGGGGGAGGAGATGGAGCTGCCTCCTGGGTGCAGTGAAGCACTGTCAATGTCCAGGCTCCCGGCTTGAGAGCTGAGCAGCCCCCAGGGGCCTGCCCTGGGCTCTGATGGAGGCCCTGTAAGGCCACCATCGCCTAGAGGGTCTTAAGATGGGGGGGCAGGACCAGGAGGAGAGCTGGCTCAGTCCTTCCCCTTTCGTGTCCTCAGGGGACTCTGGGGTGTGACAATGTAGCCCCCAGGCATTGTCCCCTTTGGACAAAATAATGTGTCACCTCCAGGGTCCTGCACCAAAGTCTCAAATTTCCTGCCCTGGATAAAGAAAACCATGAAAGGCCTCTGACTGCCGGAACCAGACCATCTTCCCTGGGGCTGATCCAGAATCACACTGCGGGGCTGAGGGTGCCCACAGCTCAGTAACTCAGCTGGGCTCGAAGGGCTGGTGGCTTATTTATTCACTGACTCCTATTCACAAATACTCATTGTTTGTTTAGAAAGGCAATGACAGGATTCTGCTGTTTTTTGCTTCCTCCTCTTCCCCCTCCCACCATCTCTTCCCCTAAACCCCATGCAAAGCTGTCTTTCAGGTCTGCTTACACATACCTGTCTTCCAGGGCCAGCCCTCCTGCAAGGGCTGAAGCTGAGCACCATCAGGGGAAAACTTGAACCTCTCTGGTCCTGGGGCTCAGGGTGAACTCCTTACTCATTGCTCTGGGTACATGGCAGGAGGGAGTAGGTCACACCATGGGGCCCTGACTCCAAGAGCACAGCCTGGGCTGCAACTCCAGGACAGAGGCCTGCCTACTGGGGAGGGAGGCTACCTGAGCTGACCTGTAACCCCCACAGCCAGGGGGGCTGGCCCAGAGCAGGGCTGGGCCTCATGAGAAGCCCCTCGTTCTCATCCAGAGAAGAGTGTTATTACATGTAACTCTAGAACATCAGTCATTCTGTTTCTAGACATGAAGATAGTCCTCTGCTCACTGGAGCATCCTCGCCCCCGGGGGAGGGGGCAGCAGGGAGGGAAGAGAAGGAACAGGGCAGCCTTATTTTTTACTCTGAATGTGCTGTGCTGTGCTTAGTCGCTCAGTCGCTCAGTCGCTCATTCGCTCAGTCGTGTCCAACTCTTTGCAAACCCATAAACTGTAGCCTGCCAGGCTCCTCTGTCCATGGAATTCTCCAGGCCAGAATACTGGAGTGGGTACCCTTTCCCTTTTCCAGGGGATCTTCCCAACCCAGGGATCAAACTCAAGTCTCACCACATCGCAGGTGGATTGTTTACCAGCTGAGCTAGCAGGGAAGCCCACTCTTAAGATAGCAGGTAGAAATGTCATTGCACATGCTCAAATTGTGGGAACACCCATTTCAAAGGCAATTAGAATCTGATTCTAAACACTCATCCATGGGATGGATCAGAAACAGGCTCTGTGTCATGGCTGCAAGCTCCTGCCTGTGGGAACCAAACTGCAGTCAGCGAGGCCCACGTGGTCTGGACAAACGGAGAAATGCCTCTGCTCTTAGGCCATCACATTACTTCTGCTCCATAGGGTCCAAGATGACCTAGACTTTCCATCCTTGGGAAGGAAGAGTATGTGATTTTTGTTGGGCAAGGATCTCCCTGTGCTGCTCTCCCCTCACCAGACACTTCCATCCGCCATCCTTCCAGGGTCTTGACGGCTGTGCTGAGCTGCCTGGGAGCTGAACCTGAGTTCCAGCTATTGGCTGGTGCTGCCCTACCCCTAACACACAGCACTGTGCTTCTCTGAGGCATGTGTCATTATTCTGAGATACAGTTACCCTAAAGGCCGGCCCCTTCCCAATATTCCTTGGGAGAGAACTGCCAGTGCCAGGCCAGCTCTGGGGATGATGGACCTGAAAGGTCAAGCCCCTGCTAATTTGTTTAGGGAATGTGCTTGGAACAGGAATGGCTCTGCCTTCCCTGCCCATGACCACACTGCTGTCGGTACCACTCACTGTGGTCTTGCAGGGTTTATTTCCTGTGTCTGTATCCCACACAACGCGACTTTTGGCCAACAAATGTTTTACTGAGAAAGAACGTTGAAGCCATGAGTTCACATCCCATATCACTCAGAAACAGCTGGCCTGAGAATTGTGTAAGACTTCGTAATGTAGATAGTGGAAAGACAACCCCTTTCAAGGTTGGGATGCTGTCTTTCAGGATGGGTATATGCTTTAAGCCAGCAGTGAGTGTAGGGTGTTGTGTCTCTCATAGCTAGAATACATGGTTCTAGAGACAAAGACGCAACCATAGGAATAGCTCTCATTCCTACTATTAAACCAATTAACTCAGTCTCAGAAGTTTTACTTCTGTCTCTATGACCTTGGACTCTTCTGATTTTTAAAGGCCTTAATTTGTAGGAAAGCAATAGACAGACAGATAAACTTACTATGCAAGTTAGGTGGGTGATCCTAATTGCCAAGGGAAGATGAGACTCCCTGTGTTACATCTTGGTAACTTGGTATTTCTGTTCCTATTAGTGATGGTCAGTGACAGGCTACTAGCCCAATAAACATAAGACCACTAAGATCCTTTAAGAGTAAAGTGCTGAGTCACCACACCAGATAAAGAATCCCACTAGCTGAGATACTTGAGATAAGATTCCTCTGTATGCTTCTCAGATGATAAAATTCCTGTCCTTGTAATGACCTTCCAGTCTCCTTGGTCAGGGACCCTTTCAAACTTCCTGGAGAAAGAGATATATGTGTGTGTGTGTGTGTGTGTGTGTGTGTGTGTGTGTATATATATATATATATATATATATATATATATATATCTCCATCTAGTCTAATAAGTTATTTAAGGCCTTTGTTTTCTTATTTATTTTTTATCTGAATGATCTGTCCATTGAAGTAACTGGGGTGTTACTTCATATTTTTACTGCATGACCATCAATTTCTCCCTTTATGCGTGTTAATATTTATGTTTTTAGGTGCTCCTATGTTGGTTGTGTATATATCTAAAATTGATATATCTTCTACTTGAATTGATCCCTTGATCATTATGTAATGTCCTTATTTGTCTCTTGTCACAGTCTTTGTTTTAAAACTATTTTGTCAGATACAAATATTGCCAGCCTGGCCTTCATTTTGTCTCCATTTGCTTGGAATACTTTTTCTATCCCCTTATTTTCAGTCTGTGTGTATCTTTAGATCTGAAGTGAGTCTCTTGTAGGCAGCATATGTATGAATCTTGTTTCTGTATCCATTTAGGTATTCCATGTCTTTTAATTGGCTCATTTAGTCCATTTATATTTATTTATTTTTATTTTTATTTTTTTTCCATTTATTTTTATTAGTTGGAGGCTAATTACTTTACAACATTGCAGTGGTTTTTGTCATACATTGAAATGAGTTAGCCATGGATTTACACGTATTCCTCATCCCGGTCCCCCATCCCACCTCCCTCTCCACCTGATCCCTCTGGGTCTTCCCAGTGCACCAGGCCCGAGCACTTGTCTCATGCACCCAACCTGAGCTGGTGATCTGTTTCACCCTAGATATTATACATGTTTCGATGTTGTTCTCTTGAAACATCCCACCCTCGCCTTCTCCCACAGAGTCCAAAAGTCTGTTCTATACATCTGAGTCTCTTTTTCTTTTTTGCATATAGTCCATTTATATTTAAAGTAGTTATTGATCAGTAGGTAATTTTTGCATTTTATTCATTGTTTTCTAGTTGTTTTCATGCTTCTTTTTTTGTTTCTTCTTTGGCTCTCTTCCCTTGTGATTTGATGACTATCCTTAGTGTCACACTTGGATTCTTTTCTCTTTTTTCTGTGTGTGTATCTAGTATAG